GTGTCCTTGGCACCACGTGAAAGATGGAGGCGGAGTGTGAAGGGGTGAACACCAAGTACACGTGCTTCCAGATCCCGTAGGTGAAGGTATTGGCGCCCTCCTGCCGGGTGTTGGTGTAGGGCGCCCAATCCCATCCTCCGGAGCAGGCCTCGCGACCAGAAAAACGGTCGCAAAAAACTTGACTCAGGATACCAGGCCCCCTGAAAAACGGGGTGGACACCCGTTTGTCCTGGTTGCCAAGTGGTTTTTAGGAGGACCCCCCCCCCCTGCTCACCAGCGAGGACAAAGACATGGCCAAAGGGTTGCAGTCGTGGGGCCATGAATCTGCCACCCACTTCGATGGACTGGTCAAACTCCACTTCCAGAGAATTGTTTGTACTCCGCAGCTTGTGCTCTTTGGGATCCAGGTCAAAGCTATATCGAATGAACTGGCTGGTGGCCGTTCCAGCGGTCACGCCGTTGATCTTCACACCTGAGAACCGATGCTGGAAACCAGCTTCAGGTGTGCTTTCTCATGGGTTCTTGCGGGAAGACCCCGCGAAACAAGCTCTTCTTGGCTTCCTCTTGATTTCCCTTTGATGTCCGCTGCTCCAAACGGTTCTAATAAGGAAAAATATGAAGTAAACCAAAACCAGGACGCGTGCACCCATCTTGATGCCATCGAAGACAACCTGGACGCGGCCCGTCTCTGCGTCGGCCACGTCTAGGGAGAAGTTCCTCGAGAAGGTCCAAGTCTGCTTGGCCCAGATGTCACTCTTCAGCCAGTTGTTCTCGTACCTGATCGCTCGACATGCGCGCATGCCTGACCCCTACATGGCTGGTACCCAAATGGAACCCTGGTAAATGGAAACTTTTGGCTCTTTCATTTCGAGCCACATAGAAATTGGACCCAAGAACTGGCTTCGTTCCCACCCTTTCCAGGCTTCGGCCAAGCAGCAAGGGATCGCCGATGTGTCCTGCAGCCTGTCAGGTTTCCAATCCCCTGGATCCACGTGGAGGTTTTTCAATATGGTAGACCCCTTTTTGATGAGTTTAAAGCAAGAAAAGAGCCGAGTGTTCGGGGATCACTATTTCGAGAAAAAGGAAACTCGCCGAATGCATCCCTTTTTGTGCGAATTTTCGAGTGAGCACCCTATAGCTGTCTTGTTGCCGGAAGGCCGAACGCTCGTCAAGCAGCCCCCGCAAAACGAACAAACCATAAAGCATGAACTCAGCCGAGGACTGACAAAAACACAGAAATCATCGTGTTTCTTCAGTCCCGTGCTTGCGACATCCAAACCACGGAGCGGGGTCCCGATACAACCCAACCCAACCTGGAGGTCCGTAAGCAGGTCACCAGGCACCTGCGCCTGACAGATGTGGATCGTTCGAGGTTCTCAAGGGCGACCAAAAGGGGCACCATCATTTTCGGGGTACATTTTGACACAGACCCATCTGTCCAGCCTGAAAACATCATCTTCAACCGAGACGCACTCATCTTGGATGGGCCAAAAACTAAAAGAGTGATATGTACAACAACCCAAAAGGAAAGTATAGGAACCTCTGAAAATGGTTGGGCATTCTCTGCAGTCACCATCTCCGTCGAGCTTCGCAGCTCACACCTGGACCTCGGAAAACCCTTATACTCCAGGCGCTTTCTCAAACAACCAAATCCTGTCAAACATTCTTCATTGTAAGATGTGGGCGTCTCTTGTTTTTGAGGTAAAACTAAAGACAAGCCACATTTTCGTAGGTAGCCCGAAACAAGATACACCCATTTGGTTGCTTGGCAAAAACCCAAAGATATTGAGGGAAATGCCGCTTGGGGACACCAGAAATGAGAGATTGAGCACCGCATGGAGATTCGTTGCAATTTGAGGTGTCTTCTTTGAAGGGGAACCTCAAGGAACCTTCTTTCTGGTAGTTTGCAAACAGAACCCAAGGGAAGCAAACCATTTCTTGGTGCCCCCGACACACCCATTTAAGGCCATGGGTCAAAATCCCCACCAGAACATCCCAATCCCCACTAGACCAACATGCACCCACCCCATGGTACCAAAACGGTTTTGACAACAGCCCTTTGAGCAAAACATCAGCGCCTTGATGGAGAGCCTCTTCAGGCCCGCGGCCGCGTTGCCCGAGGAGGTGGCGGTCCAGTCGTCGCAGTCCCCTCGGTGAAAAACGAAAAACGCGAGAAGAACAAAGGAAAGGGGGTAAACAAGACCCGAAACCGTCCCTTGAACAAAAGCCCTGAAGCAATTGAAATGGAAAATTGCCCCATTGGTCTTTGGGAGGAGCTTGAAAAGTGCGAGAAGTAAGGCTTACTGGAAATTCCACCTGGGTAAATGAAAGCGCAACCTCTCCCAGAAGGTCCGCGACCAAAAACCCTAAGGTATGCAGCCAAGCATCCACTGAGGTACCGAACCTTTGCCGCGGGCGGCGTCGGTCCAACAGCTTCAACAGGCTTCATCTATGGGATGCTAAACCATGGCAAATTACAAAAAAACAGCGCCCAAGACCTTTTCTATCACCATGGCTATGCTCGGCTTACGGAAGCCCTACAAGAAACGCCATGAAACCAGGTACTCATTGGGATTAGTGCGCTCACGGACTGGAAAGGGATCCCCCCAAAGGGCCTTTGGAATCCAAAGCTTGCCTTGGGGAGCCGTCGAGCTCATTAGGCCCACACAAAAAAATCGCTCCCGTGGAAGCACTCCGGCGGTCGGAGAGATGCGTCTCATGGATTCGGTGCCAAGACACAAGCCCATTGCGTCCATTCAGGTGACATCCTTAAACTGGGCTGCCCTCAGATCCCCCGCGAAAAGCTTGACTTTTCGTGGGTTGAATGGAAACCACTAAACACTTTCAGGCTAAAAAGCTAAGGAACCGGATGGGCTGGGAGCCAAGTAAAATGACCTCGGGTTGCTTCAAGGAAGCCCCAAAACCCATTCTGAGAACCCGCAGCATGCGGTGCCCAACGGACCTCCAGACTCCGCTGAGGCGTCGACCGCCGCGGCAGCCGGGATGTTCTGGCAAGAGTGGCTCCCTCAACAGCCCTCCCAGAGCTGCACACGCGGAACAGAAGTCCAAGTTCGAAAGAGAAAAAAATGGCGCTGCAAGACCAAGGAATGCAAAATGGCTACCCGAAATGGAACACTGGTAAATGGAACCAAGGACTAAAACCTGCGGTCCCCATGGTGATTTAATGTTGACCCATATCCATATGGAAGTACCCCCAAATCAGAATAGAATTCAACATGGAACGGTTGTAAACGGTATGCTTGACAACTATAAAAAGGGGTCAGCCCTGTTTTGCCTTGTGGCAAGCTTGATGAGCCCCCTCCAAGTGGGTGTGCGCTTTTGAGGATACGCTTTCAGGTAGGTTTGAAGGGAAACTAAGAGAAAAGTCGCCATTCAAGGGGTCCACATTCTTTGACACATGAGCCACGGCCAACACGCATTGTTTCTTCAAGAAGACCAATAGTCCGCTGGTGTGTGTCAGAAAAAAATCGGTCAGTCCCGCCTCACTTGGTCCCCCCCAAATGAAAAATCATAGGCTCCGTATGCTTCACCGGACCTTTGCCCAACAGCTCGACCGATACTCGACGGAACTCAGCACTCGGCCTCCGCGAGCTGAGAAGGCTGGCAGGCGCTCGCGCTCGCGACCGCGATCGCGAGCCTCGACGTGGCGAGGCGGGGAAAAAGTTCCTTCCTGGAGCTTGACCCAAGGGCTGGGGGGGGAGGGGGAAAAGGAGTTGTTGTTTCACGGCAGCGGTACACCCTTCACGGCAGGGGACGAAACAACAAAATGAGCTGGATGTGCGCCATGTACTTTCATCCAACTGCAGAGATACATTTAAAAAAGGCCCTTGTTCAAGCAGAGATGCTCCCTTTCAGGACCTGGATTGCTTTCCCAGCGGTTTCGGCTATGAGTGAGAGTGTTTGATTTCTTCTTTGTTCCCCCCTTTCGTTTGTGTTTTGCTTGGGGTGTTTTCTGCTTTTGCAGCCCGTCGGAGCGACCCCGAGGTGGATGATGTTCCAGGGCATAGGTGAGATGAAGCGGAAAAAACAGATTGTGACGAGGGCGTGACGAGCAGTGACGAGGGCAAGAACCAAATGCTTTCATTTCTTTAAAACAAAGGACAGCGATCGATTCTATCGACTCAGCCCAATGAGACCGTAACAAAAGACTGTAACCATCGAAATCGTAACCATCGAAATCGTAGACAACGGCGAGATGACAATGCAGGCCTGGGGGGATTCAATCAGTGTGACGCAAACCATTTCTAGTATCTTCGGAAGGAGTGGCGGTGATCCTGAGACCAGGTAAACACAAAACTCATTGGAGGCCGCTCACCCACACAAATAAGCTCCCGGTTCAACTCCGTTGCTGTCAAGTATACCGTGTCCAGGTCCCTTGGCTCTTGATGTTGTAGTCGAAATAGGTCACAACTCGTCTTAAGGCTACATGATTCCATCAAATCAGTTGGCAATCTTCTACACGTTTATCGAACTTGCCGAAAATGGAGCGTTGTTTGATGATGTTGGTCCACAAATACATCTCAATACGCAAAACATATCTTCGACAACTGACATACCGATAGTGCATGCTTGTAGTTAGTATGTTCAACCTAGCAGGTCTGCTGCTTGATCCGTCTGCCTATCTACAGGAAGTTCTGTCTTCGTCTGGTAGTTGAGTCCACCATCTAAACTGGGAACGGAATGCACTCTCGGACCGTGCTCAATGTGAGGCTTTTTCGCCGCTTCTTCCACTAAGGAAGGTGGTCTGCCTGCGTTTGGCCCTGTACAACGCATTTGTCCCTCTGGCTCTAGCACTTCACAGCCACCACAAAAGAGAAGGCAGCACACGGCTTGAACTGGTCCAAAGGAAATCGGCCAAAATTCAGCCCTTCATCCCCGAACTTCCAGAACTGCAACTCCTTCCAGCCATGTTCTTGCAAATGGTGCTGGGCCTCTTCTCTGGTCAGCCCATATTTGGCCTGCTCACCAGCGGCATTGGGCCCCTCTGAGGGGTCCAGGAACTGAAGCAGCCAGAGAGAACCAGGAGCTGCGCAGGCCGAGACTTCGCGAATGAGCTTCAGCTTCCCCGCGGGGCCCAGGTACATGATCAGCCCCTCGGCCAAGAAGACGCTGGGCTCCGCGGCCACGAACCCCGCGGCGGACAGCTCCTGGCGCAGGCTCTGGTTGTCGTCCAAGAAGTCCAGGTCGACGCTGCGGACGTGGCATTTCGGCGCCGGGCTCCGGAGGACTTGCTCGAAGATTTGGCGCTTCTCGTGGTTCACAACTGCCATGTCCACCTCGAAGGAGCCCTTGAAGCTCTGGAAACTCTCCAGGCGGTAGGCGCGGGTGTCCAGCCCGGCGCCCAGATTCACCACCTGGGTCCGGACGCCGTCCAGAGATCTGGCGATGTGCTCGTCAATGAAATGAGTCCGCACGGCCGTCCAAGTCTTGTGGAATGTTGGCCAGCCCTCCAATCCGAACTGCCCGCAGCCTGCCTCAAATCTGTCGGATAAGATCTTTCCCTTTGGACCAGCCAAGATGTGGGCAAAGGGATCCATTAGAAGGGCACCATCTCTGGAGCTTTCCAAGGACCTTTCGTAGGCGATCATCATGGCGGAGTCATTGGTGAAGTTCTTCGCCACGTCCTCCGTGCTTTCGGTGCTGAAGGCCGTTTGCGACATCAAGGCAGGCGTGAGGCACGCAGCGATCGCAGCGATCTCTGGAAGGCTTGGGCCGGAGCCAGGGCCACGCAGTCGGAGGTTCAAGCGGACATAGGGTCTGCAACTCTCGGTACTGCACCACTCATTACCCCCCAAAGTCTGACATGGAACCTGAAATGTTCATGTTTTACAATGATGATCGTCCTTGTGACCGAGGTTCCAGCCGCTAAAATGTTGTAATTGTCAAGAAACCTATGTACCTCATTGAACCCTTCGTGAAATGATGCTTTCCACATGTGCTCCTCAAAGGGTTAGTTTTTGTCAAAGCAATCGAGCGGAGTGCCGGAGTCCTGCCTCAAAAGTAGTGCGTCTCTTGAAACCATGGCGCTAGTCGAGAATTGAAGTAACCTGCCTACTTGAGCCGCAACAGCCAGTGCCACAAATCCATGGGGCTTCACCTTTGCTTGCATTTCAAACCAACCTCACGGGGTACAGTTTAACAAACGACTTCGGCAAACCCTGCGGCTCTCAACTCTCAAACTGGCACGGCGTGAGTTCTGGCACGCTCCTGGAGGCTGGTATTGATCTTCAGCTGCATGATCTCGTCCTTGGGCTCCCCAAACACTGTGGCAAATGGTAATGGCTTGCTGTGATACGGCTAGGTCACTTGATTCAAAACTATACCAAGTGTGGCATGCTTTCAGGTCGATCAAGTCGGCAACTCAACCACGACTGCTGAATGCCACTCAAAGAGTGCCCCCCCAAAGGTATCGCACAAAGTGGCAGCCTATAATCCGAAACTTGTTGCTTTCTGCCTTGTTGGTTGGTTGCTTTGGTTGCCTCTCTCCCAACCAACTCTCCTATCTTCAATACTGATTCAGAGCCATAGCAAGGGGAGCGGTTTTGGCCCCAAGTCACCATGGTCACCAATAGTCACGCCCTTCGGTGCGGCTCCCCCAAGGCTTTATGGCTCGTTGGCTCAGATGGATGGCGTGCGCGCCAACTCTCAGGCTGCGGCATACCGCTCTTGCTTGGTCTTTGGCGTCTTTGCTGGAAGTCCCTGCGGCAAAAGCTTCGCTGGCGGAGAAGTGAGACGCATGGGGGAATCTCTGGCAGCATTCCAAAACAATGAGGTGTATGTGCATATATATATATATGTATATGTACATCTGTATACATATATATATATATATATATTGCCAATCCCTGGGGTTTGCCCGGACCCGCACCCTAAATTCTAAACCCTAAACCTTGAACTCTAAAACCAGAAACCCAAAACCTTAAGCCTGAAGCTTAACCCTACAACAGTAAACCCTAAACCTTAACCCCAAAGCGAAACCCTAAAAAATATGAACGCTAAACCTTAACCCTAAAGCCATAGACCCTAAACCCCAGCCCTAAAACAACCTGCCCCAAACCTTACCCCTAAAACCGTAAACTCTAATAAGCCATAGGCACCTGGAAGCAGCAACGGCTGTCAGCTAGAAGCCTCAACTCAGCACTAGTCAGACACACATATGCACATATACATGTATATATATATATATGTATATATATGCATATATGTATATGTATGTACGCCTGGGCAAACCCCGGGCGTTGCGTGTGTATATATATATGCAATGTGTGTGCGCTGCGCCCCTTTTTTGAGGGTACCGTTTTGGGCCAAAAACGGAAAGCCACCCCGGGCGGTCAAGCCCATGAGGCAAGCCCAAGCTCCCACGCCTGCCACGGGAGACTGCCTTTCACCAAATAAATCAGCACGTAGCCAAGGGCCTTTCGTAAGCAAAGAGAGCGCGCCGACTGCGGAACTGCAGGCGTTTGGGCGAAAATACGGTGGACAACATGAGGGCAACAAATGCTGAGTTTCCTTGGGAAGTTTTCTCCTTGGGAAGTTTGGGGGTGGAAAGGGCTTTAACCACTGTTTCAAGACTCCCCCCTTTTCATCTACAGGGCCCCCTGGCCGGGCGGAAAGCCACGTAATGAATCTGTTGCTTGCCAAAACTAGGAATCAGCTGAAATAGCCAGGGCTTCGTTTCTTTTACCTCCACAAGAGTCCCAACTCGACGCACACTCGAGCCATCGTTCATCCGCCTCCAGGTCGTCCCGACGGCTCTGCTCAAGCCCTGCCTTGGTCCGAAGGCTGGCACAAGGTGAACAAACTGCTTCATCTGGGCAAGCCAAAAATTCACCTGGAAAACGACCGAACGTGAACGCCACCAAGAAAGGAACCAAATCACTTTGGGCGTCCAAAAAGAACGGCTGGCGGGGGCTTTTTGAAGCGAGTCTCCCAGACTGTTGCATGATGGCGCCGGCCTCATGCACGGCTTCTTTATAGGGAGTCACCCGTCGTCCAAAAAGGGGCTTTCTCGAAAAATTAGGGACCCTTCAGGTGGTTGGTGTCGTGGTTTTCTGCAAGTCAAAGGCCGAAGGCCCCAAGTGAAACTTGTTGAAACAGATATCTGTCAATAGCGTCAAAGGTCAATCCCAAGCTTGCGCGGTATCTTTTCGCGGCTTTCTTTTCGCGGGTATCTTGTTTCAATCGGGGCCTTTGACAGAAGACGCAGACCCCAACCATGGGCCGTACCAAGTTTGCCAAGCCGCGTGGGTATTGATCGACGCGTAGCGAGCAGTGCCAGTCAGGGCCTGGCTCTCGAGAGCCAGCCAGCCACAAACATTCCGAAAGAAACATGCTCGGAAGATGAGAGAATGATGACTTCCTTTTGGTCTTTAAGAATGGTGTCCTTCTGGAAAAGGGTTCTAAAGTGGCCAAGTCGCAAGAGTCTTTCTGGAAAGTTCTCGAACCTAAGCCTCTGCCAAAGCTGCGAGATGCAAAGCCAAGCCTTGCCCTCCCTGTAGGCAATATGCACCTGCGTTTTGGAATCTCTGTACCTCAGCGGCTCAGCGGCTCTCTGTTCGCGCAAACGTGCAACCCTGACTCATAGCCCTCAAATTGGTGGATGATGTTGGTGGTTCGGAGGCAACTATTTGTTTCCGGTTTACCCACCAGAACCAAAAGTCTGCCAATTAAGGGTAACCTGATAGGCTATTTAGATTTTTTGCCAAAATAATAGAACCCCTCTACTGAAAACAGCCATTGCCATTGGTCTTGGGAGCTGATTTGGGTATGAGCTTGAAGTGGAAGCGGATGCGACCCTTTGGTGGACACCCACTGGCCCTCGGGCGTGTGTCTACCAAGTGTATCTGCAAGGGTGTTCCCAATTAACCTTCACAGCTATGTGTGCCAATGTGTGCCACGGTCGGAGAAAAAAGCAAGCCTGTTGGCCATGATCTTCCGGTTCCTGTGATTGTAAGCCTTCCTTTGAGGGAACTGCTTGTACCTTGCTTGCACCAGCTTCGGAACGCGAGGCTCTCTTTGCAGAACGCGAGGTCGCGGAACTACGACCCGTCAGCTTCGAAACAGCTCCGCTGGCCGCAAGGTTCGCTGAGTCTGGGGCTTCTTTGACAATCCAAAGTCGATGAGGTTCACCTGGACGGAGCCGAAGCCAATGCCCCTTCTCAGAGAACTTTCAGGGAAACCAAAAGGGAACCAACCTGAAGACGACCCTGTAAGAAACACCCATGAGACAAGCCAATGGTGGCTCCTCAAAGAACTCCTTCGATCGAGCAGTTTGTTGGTTTCCGTTGTTCGACACACAGACCCAAAAGGCCGCACCCGAAATGGGAGTTACTTGGCCCATCCCACGTGTCATTTCTAGTGACTGGAAAGGACAAACTCCCTTCGAAGCCCGAGGGAATGATTTAAGGCAGGAGACCCTTGAAACCGTCGGTGTCCTTTACTAAGGAGTGGGGTGCACTATTTATGAGATGCACATATTGGAGTGCCTCTCTTTTTTCGAAGTACCCCTTTCTTGGTGGGGGCAATTTGAAAAGGAAACACATGGAAACCACCCATATTGGGTCCCAACATTTTGCCACAAACCCAGGAATGCAACCACTGCAAGTGATCATGCGGCATGCCTGGTTTGCGCGCCGCCCGAGTCCAAGCAAAAAATTGTCGGGCTTCACCTGGGCTGCGAATTTGAGGGCGGTGTGGCTTTGTGAGGGTACAATTCTCAGGTTGGTCTCAAAGGAAAACCCAAAGGGAATGGCCATTTTAGGGGTCCGCTTGTTTAAGACATATCCTGTTGAGATTGTCTGAAGAAGGTGCCCACAAAATGGTGGGTTTCCCTTTTGGCTTCCGGTTCAAAAGCATTCGAGGGACGTCCAAACCTTGAGACAAGTTTGATTCCAAGGAAGGCCTCCCACACGCTCTCTCTCAGAAAGCCCGGGTCTCGTATCGCCCGACCAAAGGGCAAAGAGCAATCTCAGGCGGAGGCATCGCGGTGAATAATGTTTCTGGAGTGGACACACTCCAAGCCTTAGAAAATGGAGACTCACACCAGGGCCTCTGCACTTTGCACCACTCAACCCTTCCAACTCGAGAACGCAAAACCTCTGCTTTTGCTGGCATGCCTGCCTACCATCTTGCTTGCCTGCGCGCCCTCCTGCTGCTTGTCTGCTTTGCCCCGAGGTCCAAACGATTGATCATCTGATCAGCTATCATCAGAACCTGAGGATGCTCTTCTCTTCTGCGCCGCAAACAACCCTTAAGGACAAAGGCGCCTCGGTCGGATTCGGTGCTTCGTTTGTGTTTCTCCGCAACCACCTTCTTGGAGTCGCCCAAAACTTGCTCCAAACGCACCGCTTCTCTCGCACACCTCTCGCGCTTCCTCTCGCGCTTCGAGGCGTGGGCTGTTTTAAGGCTAAGCCTCCCGTTGCAGAAGTTCAACAGGTCTTCCAGGGACGGCCCCAGAAGGTCCTGGGCAAGCGTCGGGGAGGGGCGAGTCAGAGAGGGCGAGTCAGAGAGGGCATCCCCTTTGAGCAGGGTACACGGAAGAAATTGCCAAGCTTTCCACAGGTGGAATGAGCACCTCCTACTGGTTTCCCTTTGAAGAGAAGGGAGGTTCAACAGTATCTCCACCCTGCAAACATCACCCTAAAACAAAATGGGAAACTGGGCGGGTCTCAAAATCGGGAGCCCAAAATAGTTTCGTTCGGCTTCCCTTTGAATCCAACCAAACAGGATCCCCACCCCCTCCCAACAAAACAAAGAAATGAGCTAAGTTATTTTCTGCGACCCCGAGGCAGCCGCCAGAACCATAACGGTGTAAGCATCCTCCACGCCGTACCTGGCAGACGGGTACTTCTTATTCGCGACGGGTTTGAGCATGCTTCACAGGGACACCCAAGGAAACCCACGGGTGGTTGTGGGTTTTTTGCGGGGGTCCACCGAATTTGAGTCGCAAAAAACGAGAACCGGCGGAGCTTTAAGGCGACCGAAGTCCCGAAGTCCCGAGGGCTCGGCCAGTGGATCGAAGGAATTCCCACGCTGCCGGCAAGAGTCCTCGTCGCGGACTCATTGGAGTTCCCCCGAACCCCTCCCCCCCCTGCCAAGGGCCTCAAGTCAGACATGCGAACACATGACTGGGGGAGAGGGGGAGAGGGAGGGAAGTCCCACAATTTCCCTGAAACTTCCTTGCAGCTCTTTATCCCTGTGGATGAAAAGAAACTGCAGCTGAGGTGGATGGTGCCTGCCGAGGATTTCATCCAGCGAGTAACAGAAGCGGGCTTCTCCAAATAGCGGGCCCCTAAAATGGCCACGGTGTCCTTTGGGCTTCCCTTAAAATACCAATCGAAACAGGGTCCACCAACTGGAGAAACTCTCGGAAAGGTCTTCTGATCCGAGTGTCTTGTAGATCTTGGCCTCATACAACAGCTGAGGATGCCTGCGGGAAGCCGGCCGGGCTCGGCGTCACAACTCCCGCCATACAAGGCCCCCCTCCCCCATGGACCCATTCGCTTCTCCAGCCAGCCTGTGTTGCTTGGCCTTGCCATTCAGGCCAAAAAAGGAAGCTTGGGGATGGAAAAGCGAGCGGATCCTGGTGCCATGGACACAATCACTCAGCCCGCCTGGACTTCAAAGGCTCGAGTTTGATGGCCACTTCCTCTCCTGTCCGTAGGTTTACACCTCAAGCGGCCGGAAATGGAACGATGCTTGGGCACCCGCCCCACAAACCTCCCCTTGGACAAAACCAGGAGCTTCGTGGATGTCATCGCGCGTGACCCTCCTTTCGACAGGCTCCAAGCAGGGTTGGGGGAAATCGCCTTTTCTGCGATACGAAAGTGGCCAAAACCCATGGAGCTTGGTTCTACCAACATGACTTCAAAGGCTTACAAAGGGACTACCAGAAACCCCATGAAACCAGGTAGTAGAACTTGTACCACCGGCTAGAACGAGCCAGACGCTCGAGCGGACACAACTACGTGCTTGCGTTGACCCCTTCCAAGCCAACAGCAACCTACCAGCTGTATCGTCTATCGCCCAACCGGCTAAGTCTCAAAATGGGACCCTGTGGATGGATTGAAAGCGGAAAACCCACTTGAACTGGGTCGAAAGGCATCCTCTCCCTCGCCATGGTTTGAAGGGAACCCGCCCACCCAAGGTGGTTTAGATTGGTGGAGCGTTTGTACCCCTGGTTCTTTCGGGCAATCCCAGCTTAGAAATCCTCTGGTTGATTTCGATCGGCTCGTGGCTCGTCGCTTGAGGGGTCCGGGGTTCAACTGGGCCCCATTGAAACCTCCAAACCCCTGACTCAGATGACCTGTCATTCCGGGAGCAGCACCGAGATGAATGGCACCAAACGAGCCAGAACCAATCTTGCCTCAAAGCTCGGACAAAGCAAGCGCGCTCCCCGAATGGGCGAAACCAAAGGCGTTGGCCTCAACATACGACAAAATGCGAATCAGTTGATTTTGTGAATCGAATTGAGATTTTTGGAAGACCAAATCAGGGGTGGCTTGTTGTTGGTGTCCCCTTCAACTCCATGCAATGTACTTCCTTTTTGATGGTGCGATACAAAGGCTGCAAAATCGAACCAACCCAAATGAGGGGTCCGATTGGGAGCCTCATTTCGGACCTTGAAACCGGACAGTGCAATCACCAGGCAGACGTTGGCTTCACATCTCGTGAACCCTACATACCCGTACGCAGGCTGCAGGGGGCCCGACCAATTCCTCGTGGAGTGAGGGAGACCGGGGACGGAACCCCACTAATTTCTTGTGTCCGTTGCTGCCAAACTGTGTCTTCCTCTTTGGTTAGACCCGCCTAGCAGCAAGGTCGCTGGTTTGGCCCCAGTTTAGCCACTGATCAAGAACGAGCTCTCCAAGGCACCTCCCCAAAACATCCAAAACAAATTGACAGGGAGGGTCCCCCAAGGATTTCGGGAATTCTCCAACAACCTACACGCATGGTCCAAACTCCATTTCTCAGCCATGGTGTCCATGGAAGTCGATTTAGTCTCGCGCGGTTCCACCCCCAAACCAAAGGCACCGGTGCTGAGTGCCCGGCTTCCTAGCCTGAACTTCCCACCCAGGACCACCTCCTGCGCAAAACTTCGGCTGTCCTTTCCCTGTGGTTGGTGCTTGGGAAATGTCCCGCAGCCTTCCTGTAGCTGGTTTCGATGATTGCCGGTTGACACGAAACAAACAACAACGCTGGCACTGCCTTGAGAAAAGAGACGGGTCAAAGCCAATTAGGTTTGTCTCCAAGTGAGAGGGGGGGGGGGAAATCCAAGCATCAAAGGTGCACGTCTTCTTGTGGCTTGCAATACCCAAAAAGAACAACTTGAAGGGTCTCAAAACATCGTGTGGGTTTGTCTCACCGAGACGGGAATTCTTCAGCCAGGTTTCACTTTTGAAAGGGCCTTGGCCCCCGCTCCTGGCGTGGGCTGTCCTCCGTCTTGGCTGAACCTGCTGGCGCCTGGCAGGGACCCCCACTCCACGGTGTCAGCCATGGGTTTCTCCATCACCCCACCCCACCCAAACCACGGGGAACGCAGCCGCGCAAAAAGAAAGGCAGACAGAAACGCCAGACATGCCGTTGCCTCCACCACCTCATTTTTGTCCGGAACCTCCATCGCAATTTCCTGGATCGCTTCTTTGCGGGCACGCACAGACAAGCAGCTTGCAAGCTCCCGCCTTTAACGAAATGGGCTGGACGGATCAAAATGGGAGCCAGAAGTCAGAGGCGCATGCCAAAACATGCAGGTGTGTTGGTTCCCGAGTGTTCGATGTGAACACAAGTCGGGCAGTTTTGCACATCAGCCACAGTGCGTCTTGCCCTTCCACAGCGTGCCCTTCGCACTTGCTCTCTCTCTCTCTCTCTCTCTCGCTCTCGCTCTTTCTCTCCGCCTCCCTCTCTCACTCAAGTGACTTGGGCACACATTCACCATCGCATGCTTGCCTTCCAGCACACCTGCCTGGCAACCTTCGCCATGTTTTCCGCTCGCCGGGTCTGAAACCATCCTAACTACAGCGACTTCAGCATGGTCTCGCCGTCGGAAACCTTGAGATCGCCAGCGCCCTCTTCCACAAACATCTGGGTGACCTTGCCGTCCTCGCAAAAAAACTCCCCCCAGATGTGATACGGCGGAGCAACCTAAATATTACCCGTGAACCGCAACCGCCAAACCTCGGTAAAATACGCTGAAATACGGGGCATTGGGCCATACCAGTTCTCACAGAATGCCCGAAGTGAGAAAATGAATGTGAACGCCCTTACTGATCATAGCCCTGTCTGCGATATTTCATTGTTGCAGGGAAAGCAGCACCCTTTCAAGAATGCAAAACTACGACTGAGACAAGAAACCCAAATGATCCACCAAGTTAACCAAGTTATGGACAGTGAGCACTTGCTGTCCCACCATACAGAGTGTGGTTCATGGCAAATGGTTCCCCTTTGCACCGTTTCACGCATCAAACGACCAAAGCAACTCATGTTCCACTTTGGGCATTGCCTTGACAGATTGGTTTAAACAAAAAACTTGACCGGCTTCGGCCTCGGGCTTTGGTTCGGTCATCCCTGCCAGATTCGCGGCAGGGGGTGCTCCTTTCATTCGTTCTTCAGGGCCCAGCCCCCAGCCCCCCACAAGGCTTTCAGTCGATCAGAAACCCTTCTAGAACCTTTTTGGATGCTCTTCCCTTTGTTTGCTCCCTTTCCGTGGCTTTTGACTCTGTGGAAATTCACTGCTTGGGAGTGGGAAAATAGACATGTTCCGTAAAAAGTTCAAGGCTGAAGCTCCAGCCAAACCGCATTGGTGTGGCTTGGCCCTTCTTTTGGCTTACGGTCCGGGCTTGGGTCCTCCACCAGCATGGAATAGCGGTTGGACCGCTTCCCCGGGCCCAGGCCGGCCACTTTCAGATCCACCCCGCAGCCCATGAACTCGGTGAAGGACCCGTCCGCGTCGCCGTAGAAGCTCAACGCACCGCTGGGATCCACCTGAAAGAACGTCAGGGCATGCGGTGTTTGATGGGCTTTATGCGGAAACACAAAGCACAATTCCTTTGCAAACACGCTGGAAACAGGAGTTGGTAGACGTGATGTTGAGACTACTCTACTTATTCCCACTGAGCAAAGCAGAAGGCTTTTTTGGACCTTGCAAAGATTCTTGTTTAACCTTGACACTTCTTTAAACCTTGCACTTCGCTTCTTTAACTTTGTGTTACTCTTTTTTTAACATTGCCGCACTCTTTTTCCACCTTGCCCCCTTTCTTCTGACCTTGTAGCCGTTTTCCATCGGGGTGGAGCAGAGGGAGCGGAGGCGGGGCGGAAGCGGAGCGGAGGGGGCGCAGCGCAGGCGCAGTGCAGGCCCCGCGGAGGCGGAGCAGAGGCGGCGCTGAAGCGGAAGCCATGGGGAACATCTGCTGGGTATCTGTAGCCAAATTCCTTCGCCGCCCCAACATGCCCAGCGGCGGATGCTCCGAGCGTGTCTTTGCCAGAGCGCTTTTTGTAGGTCACATGATGCAATGACATGTCACATTGCGCCTCTGTAATTCAGATGTTTTCTTGCAAATGGCTCAATGGAAGTTGACGTCAAGAAGCACCATTGCTTCTACAGAAAATTGCCCAGCTTGAGCTTTGCACAGATGGCAACCTTTGTCACCAGAGGTGCAAGCTGGCACACATGTATCAGGAACTATTGATGACACACACACACACACATGGCAGGAAGCCACTCACGTGGCTTTGAAACCATGTCCAAATCCAGGCCTTCCACAATGTCTGAGATTTCGGCTGGGTCAGGAGCTACAGCAACTTCTTGGTCTTCATCAACTTAACAGCTTCCTCCTCTTCCCCTTCTTAGTCACCAGCAGGCGTGCTCCTTGCGGCTTCCTCTTTCCCAAGCGGCGCATGCTCCGAGCTACCGGCAAGGCAGGATGTTCTTTGGTTGGGGGGAGAGGTTGCTCTTTCGGAAAGTGGGGTTGCAAACGAGCGCCGGAGGGAAGTCGAAGCGAAGCCGAAGCGTTGCCGGAGCGGACACGGAGCGGAGGCGGAGCGCAGGCGCTGCGAGCGGCGGCACTTCGAAGCGGAAGCCATGCAAGGGCTGGGGGACATCTCCTGGGCACATGTGGCCCCAAATTCTTGCCGCCCCAACAGTCCATCACTCTCTGTTTTTTGTTCGTCTTCTTGGCAAGGGCATTGGCTCTTCTTCGTTCTGGAAGTTGCTCCAAGCTCGCTGCTACAGGGCAAGTCGAGACTTAATCGGTCAAAACCACCGGCCTCGCGATTGGCGGCTTTGGTCATCCCCTTGTCTTCGTGGCACAGTTTGCGCACGAGCTCTGCGTTTTCGCCGGTCGCTTGCGCGCGTCAGCCGAGACCTAGTCGCTCAGATGCGAGCGCACCGTGCTTCCTGCTGGGCACGAATCAAAATGGCTGCGAAGGGGCCGTTCGACGACGCTTTCAACCAAGAACTCGCTGCTGCCAGCTTCTCTTGCGCTGAGCAGGTTGAGCTAAAAATAGTAATTGGCGCGCTCGATGGCTTCCAAATATGCTTGTTCGCTCGCCTCTTCAACTTGGCTGGAACAGAGTCCGAGGCACAACTTGCCAGTTAGCTGACTCTGTCGTACTCCCGTAGAGCGTTTGCGAAGTGCAAAAGTTCTTTGAGCTCTTCGTCGCGCAGCAATTCTTGCACACGCTCCATGTCTTCCTTTGTGTGACTGTGTTTCTCAGTCGAAGCACGTTGAAGCATTCATGCTCATGTCTTCCTTTGCGTGACTATGTTGCTCAGTCGAAGCACGTTGAAGCATTCATGCTCATGTCTTCCTTTGTGTGACTATGTTGCTCAGTCGAAGCACGTTGAAGCATTCATGCTCATGTCTTCCTATGTGTGACGATGTTGCACGGGCATTTCTTGGTTCGTTCCTTTGACAAGTCTCGCGCCGTTGCGCATCTCTCAGCATGGCTCTGAAGCTTCGGCCGTGTAACCCAAAGCATACAAAGCTGCCTCACGCACGCAAAGGTCGCGTGGCAGAAGAAGTCGCGCGCGGCCTCCTCCGTGGCACGCTCTTGAGCGCAAGCATCAGCAGCGGCGAGCACGAGCAGCTTTGCCTCCTCGGCTATGTTGGGATATAGTCCCTGGAAGATACTCCAAATCACTGTGGCCTCTGGGGCGCGCAACTTCACACGCCGTACTTCTGCTGCGCTCAAGGTTTCGAGACCTTCCTGCAGCCTGCGCGGGCTTGAGGCTCCAATTGCGCTTGGGCATTCCGCGCGGATTGCAAACTTCTGCTCCAGCGGGAATTGGTGCCTGAAAAGTCTGTGTTGACGCTGCCACGCGCGGGACGCCGGTGAATGCCTTGCCAAGACCTTGCTCGGCGTTGCTCATACGCCGGCCGTGGTGTGATCGCATCTTGGACCAAGAGAAAGTTGCGCAAAGAAACGCTGAAACGCAGAGCCGGGCTCTGGCCTGCTTGTAATGTTGGAGAGTGATTAATAAAGGGCCCCCCCTCAAACGAATTGGGGGGATCAGGATTGATAAGGAATTTGGTGGCTTGGGACAGGAAGCAATCCAGAAATTCTGGACATGTCTGGCTGGGCTCAAACGTTTCAACCCTCACAAATAGCCCATTCTTGGAAGGGGACATATTTTCGGGATTTCGGGCAGATTTTTTCCGTACCACCTACCCTTTTTGCTTTCAGGAGAGTGAATAATTTTGAGATCTCTTTTCTGTATTCACTCCCGTTTTACTAATCGCTATCTAACATTAAGGGGGGTCACGCTGGAAGATTTGCTGAACCGGACACGCCTTGGGGTTCTTGAACGCCGACAATGCGGCGAAACATTGCGCGCAAGACACCTCAGCGATCAAGCACGAGCACGTGTATGCATGGGTGCTGACAGATACGCAAAACCAAAAGAATTCAAGCAGCCGCGCGGATGTGCTGTGTTTCACCTTGGCCGCAGCGAACGGAACGGAGAGATTTTGCCATCCACTGCAGCTCACACAGCCGCAGCATCGGAATCAGCACCTCCAAGTGAATCAGACGTCTCTTGTCTCTCTGCTTCATTACTCTCTTCTTCCCTGGGCTGCCAGGGGCACGCTTCCGACCGGCTGATGCCTTCAACACTTCCCTCGCTGCGGGGCCATGTTTCTCCTAGCACGCCGCAGCTCAGTGGCGGGCACAGCGCGCAGGCGCAGGGTAGGCACTTATATGTCTTAAGGCCATTGCCAGCAGCCCGGAAAATACGCCGCGCCCCCCCTTGCACGACGCCGGTCAAGGGCCACGGGACAAGCTCGAAACCGGCTTGGTCGTGGGAAGCTTGCACTTTTGACACACGGGGTGCGAACAAGCGCGTCTTTCAAGTTTGCCTGACGCTGACGACAGCATTGTTGCCAGGGCGGCTTGCAGGAAGATGCCGCCGCAATCACGTGCAGGCACCTGACCAATAAGCAAAAATTGCCGCTCAGCCTTGATCGCCTTGCCTGGCAGAAGCAAAGATTCTCACAGGCGTGCGCGGGTTTAGAATTCAGCGGCCCTGCAGCCATTGCGATCATGGGCTGACCTGACAAGTCTACGGGCAAGCACTTCGAGCCCCTTCCTTCTGTTGCCAGGCTCGGCAAAGCACTGCTACAAGAATCTTGGGATTCATCCAAGCCTCCACCACGCGCGCATCTCCACGATCGGAGCATCACAAGCAGTTCAGTCACTCCCTGGAAGGACCCAAAAGCCGCCGTCGTCAAGACCAGCGAAAGCTGTCATGATGTGCGCGGGCTTCCCGCCAAACTCCTTACATACAAGGCGCCAAAAGTCTGCAGCCTCCACCTCTAAGCGTCCGCGGCTGATCTTGCTGATCAACAGTCTGCAACGCGGTTTCCCGCAACTGCGGCTGGCCTCACGGCAGTCTGAAATGCCTACCGAAAGCCAAAGAGGTGCAGGCTGTGCAGTCGGACAGCTTAATCGTAGCAACCTGTGATTCGGGCACGAACCTGTGCCCAGGCAATGGGTTAGTTGGGGTAAACAAGCCACAAAAGAAAGGTTCCCCAAAAGCAAACCAATCCCCGGTCCCAAAGATCAGGGTTTCCCACACACCAGAGAACAACAACCAAAGGAAAACAAACCAAACAAGAAAGGGTTAACCCGCAACCTTGGTCGACAACAGGCCGCACGACTGGTCCCTACCAACCTGGCGGCGGCCCGAGGTCTCTTTCTCCCCCGAGATGCCGTCGGTCGACGCAGGGGTTCGGCGACGCCCATTCGAGGCGCGACGGAACCCAAAACTTGAGCCAAAACACCACAGGTCGGTCACTAACGCGACGTCCCTGATGATGATATAACCATGGCTAATCACACCCCCCTCACGAGGAGGCCGTCATATGACGGGTGGAGCGTGCCATTTACTGATAGGATTTAACTGCTCGCATGTGTCCGCAAACAGCTGGACACTACCGCCGTCAGCGGTGGAGCAAACCCACAAAGGCAGTTGCGCGACATCCCGGGCATTAAATTCCCGCCACCACCCCGAATTAATCGGGGTAACGCTGTCCAACATACCTTGTGGAAAGGTCCACATGACGACACTAGGTCACAACTGTTTGCATCAACAATGCAAGAAGTTTAATTCTTATCAGAAGCCATGAAATAAAAGATAACGTATGTCCATTAGTACCCTCGCCTAACGGCAAGAGGTACTCCTGACCATGCGTACCTGAAAAATGCTTGAATTCCGCAAACCCGGGAGTAACCCCCCATCAGTTTGCTTTCCCTCTCACTCACACTGCTTCTGATGAACACGTCCAGCAGCCCAGCAGCGGTATGGGAGAGACATGACCTCCGCGCCTCAGCGGTCCGGGAGGAACATCACCACCTCCGCACCGCGCCGACCATTGGAGAATGGACGCAAGCCTATCGGCCGCAATCCTCGTGACTCAGCCTACCGGCTATCGTCACGTCTCCTCCGGTCACGTCCGCCCCGCGCACGGTCCCTATCACGATCCCTT